CACATTCGTTTCACATCCAGTGGAAGAGCTGTGCTGAGCAAGCAAGCAAGTTCATTTCATGCACTGCTGGGAAATGTCTTTCTTTTCCTTCCTCAGTACTTTATCCCTTATTCATCTGAGCTTAACATTTTCTGGCCAACACTTTTTTTTTAAAGACGGGCTTAAATGTAAGAATAAATTTTGCCGCGTAAGCACGGGCCGTCACCGTTACTCGACTGAGAAATCCTGCTTCAGAGCTGCTTTTTTTGGCTCAAACATGAAAATCTGGGTGAAATGCTCAATATCAAGTGGACGCGCACATAAAGGAGTGCGTTTGAACTTGAATGCAACTGTTCTGTTATGCTTTGTAGTTTTGGACATCATAATCATCCATTAGTAGGGACACTTTCTTATTTTTGTTCTCATCTCATCCATATTAAGAAAATCGTCCATTAGCAGCTACGTCAGGATTATTAATGATGCACACTGGATGCATGGTTGTTTGTGTGTGTTAATTAAAAAAAGAAGAAAAAAAAGCTACAGGATTGAAATTAATTCACGTTAACTCTGCACGATTATCAGCATGAATTATCCACAGTTCACTGAGTGAGGCCAAAGCGCTGCCGTGAAGAAGCCTGTTGGGGTTTTGTTTTTTTAAATTTGAGCTCCACTTTGGTCTTTGTTGACATGTATGGCTCTTTAGCTGCTAAATAAGCAGTTTTTATTTCCGTTATTTTCTGTTATGTTTAAAAAAAAGTGTTTGTTTTTTCTCTCCCATATATTTTACTCTTTGGAAACACATCTTGTCAAATCATGCACAGTCTTTTTAAGCAATGTACAAAGACCACGTATCCCCAAGATTGTTTGTTTTTCTATATCTTTATACTACAAGCATTCAGCTAAAGGAAGAAAGGGCTCTAAGAAGTAAGACTCCACAAAGTGAACATTGGCAAGTGTGTGTAATATTAGAGGGAGAAAAGGCAGGTTTGTGGCTCTGTTTTTATCTTGAAAGCTTGTTGCTTCTCATGACTTGTGCCTTACCGGTAAATGGTGCACTGATGTCGCTTCCTTTTCCATTTGTTCCAGGATGAAAATGCGGCGGCACAGGGTGTTCTTGCTGTGCACGGTGGGCCTGTGTGTCATCTCCTTCCTCCACTACTACAAGGCCCTCCATTACGTCTCCCTGCTGCGGGAGCTCTCGGCTCCATACCCCAACATCAAGTCCTTCATCATGGTGACCGGCTTCTTCTGGAGGGAGAAGGGTATGGCCACCACCCCGCTCAGCCCAGCTTCTCCTGAAGAGGCCCCCCCTCTACCCGGTCTCCGGCAGTCAGATGCCAAAGCTAGAGGCGTGCCGGGTCTCGGGGGAGGAGGCGGAGGGGAAGGATTTGGCCCGGGGATCCCGGAGGCCATAGCTGGAGGTGGAGATGAGGAGATGAGGCAAAGAGAGGAGCCAGCACCACCACATCCCTGGGAGAAACCAAAGGAAAACCAGCTGGGAGACGCAGCAAATGAGGTAAGATGGGTAAACCCGAACACAACAGCGCGGTGTCGAACGCCTCACAATTTACACCTTCAGACAAATTTTTGTTTATGTATTTCAAGCTTTCAGCTCAAAATCCCACACAGATCCATTGATCTGAGACCTGTTTCTCATCCATTCCCAGGACTGTTGTTTTGCTTTCTCTTTAAAGTACCAAACGTGTGTTATTAAAAATGCAAATTTTACCTCACAGCGCACCTGGGTTTGTTTTTCTAGACCCGGGTGACTCTGTTTCTTTTAAGATGTTAGTTTGCATCACAACTGTTGTGTTAAAACGTCAGAGTCACATGGCAGAGCAAACAAGCAACCAGCCAAGGCAGCAATATTTGACTTCTCTCCAAGACTGATGTGATGCATTGTGCAACCAGATGAGATTTCCCCAGACCTCCGGTATATTAAAATGTGTTGGTGTAATCCTGTGCTTCTTTACCTGGGGATCTTTACCCTTTAAAGCCGGTCGGAGCGGGCACGCTCCGTTTTGGGTAACTATTTTTAAATCCTGGTAGCACTGCAACCACGTAAGCTAGCACAATAATTTTTTTTGCATATGAAACCGGAGGAGTTGTACTTACATCTTATGCCATCATCTTGTCCTAAGTCACGGTTTCCTTCCACATATAGCTTTGCAAAAACTGCATAAAAAGCACTTGCAGCAATAAATATATAATTATATATATAAATATAATATTCCAGAAACACGCTTTGCTGATCCGATCAGCTGT